AAGTTAAAAAAAAATCTTAAACACCAATAAAAACCATAATACACAAGGTGAGAGTCAAGGTATTTCTTTAAAGAAAAGGTTACAGGAACTCAAGGGAAAGCATCTATATAGAAGGGCCTTTCTAAAACCTGCCCCTTAGGTTCATGCACCAGTTATGTTTTAAAGCTGAAATGACTCTAACAAATGTTTACAGCGAAAGATTCCATTATGAAAGTAAACCCACACTACTCTGAAAAGAAAGAAATGTAGACCTAATCCTGGACTGTTCCAAGATCCACAATACATTTACATTTCAATAAATGATAAGACATATACTAAACATTGTGGGCATTGTAATTCTACATCCGCAAAATAAATTTCATTTATGGACTAACCCAGCCGTGGGCAAAAACTATGGCCCACGGGCCGGATTCGGCCCGTTTGAAATGAATAAAACTAAAAAAAAAAAAAAAAGACCGTACCCTTTTATGTAATGATGTTTACTTTGAATTTATATTATTTCACACAAACACTCCATCCATGCTTTTGTTCCGGCCCTCCGGGCCAGTTTAAGAACCCATTGTAGCCCTCGAGTCAAAAAGTTTGCCCACCCCTGGATTAACCTCTTGGAATACAGAATGTGGTTCATTTGGGTAAATATTAAATAAATAGACCAAAGAAAAAATAAATGAACTTTTAGGAATTTAACGTTGAAGGAGAAAGAACAGAATAGTATTAAGAAATCTAGGCAACAGTTTCATTTTAGTTTTTCAGTAAAACATACAAACAGCAGCAACATTTTTGGCTTCAGCCTCCTAAATGCATGTTACACATATGGCTAAGGAATGTGAGCAATTATGAAATTCAGGCTTTGAATTTGCTTTTCCCTAATTCAGAATTCCTCATAGAGATGCAACTACATTTAGAGAAGGTCTTCATGCTGCCTTGTTTACAAAGTCTACCCACCAAGTTTACCTCCCCTTCAAAAATCCTGCTGGATTAGACAGAGATAGAAAGTGACTGTAGGGCTAACTTTAAAGCACTCATCCTGAACAAAATTTACTGTTATACTTTGATTTACTTATTTTAGTAATATTTATGAGGAACTAGAAGTGTGCAATATACAAGATGACGAACTAAAATGTAGGACTATATCAAACTTAAACCACCCACACTCACCTTCATCTACCAGAGCTAGCTTATTTTTTTGCTGTTTACCCATTTTCCTAGAATTTCCTCTAATATGAATCAACCTTTATGACTCTATAACATACTCATATAATCTTGAGAAAGAAAGATCATCATCTCCCTTACAAAATTCTTAACATACTGCTTTTCTGTAATTCTTAGCAGTAAGATCACTATTTCATCTATACTTCCCTGACTCTAGGGCAAGGCCCACATGCACTTTATCTAAAAAGAGCCCCACTGAAGGAAAGTTAACTCACTGTTTTGGCTGTTGGCATCATCTGCTTTGAACAGAACATTAAAGATGCAAGCGGTCCTTTTTAAACTAGAGGCTCTGTGCACGAAATCCATTCACTGGCGGGGGGGGGGGGGGGGGGTGTGTCCCTTAGCCCAGTCTGCACCCTCTCCAATCTGGGACCCCTCAGGGGCAGTCGGAAACCCCTCTCACAATCCGGGATTGCTGGCTCCTAATCACTTACCTGCCTGCCTGCCTGGTCCCCCCCAACTGCCCTCCCCTGC